ACGTTGCATCCTCTTTTTGTGTAGCTGGTATGTAACAAATGAGTGTGTTTGTTGAATCTAAGCTTTCCCACTCAAATAATGCATTGATGTATAAAAAGATTCCTTCCTATTGTCAGTGAACACATTGCTCCTTACTGGTAGACCAGATCATATTAGCGATATTCTGTAAGCAGTGTCTTTATTAATCCTGGTGGACAGGTTGTATAATACGGAGTTACCAATTACATTTTTTACTCTTTCCATTTTTATATGATTGATTATTAAATATAAATAACAAATTAAAGATTAATTAGGTAAATATTGATTAATTCTTAAAGAGGCAAAGGTAGGAAAACTAATGATATTGCACATGTGTGAAACAATAGCTCTTTTTTTTAATTAGCATTAAAGATTGCTCAAATTTATTATGACATTTATGCATTTACAGTAGTTATAAGACACCAATAAATCAATGTTTGCTTTTAACAAAATAAAAAAATATATATTTTTACATGCGGTAAGCGAAAAAAATTCTGAATGTATATGGTACTGGCCTCCTAGAATCCCCTACACAGGAGCACTCAAACTAGAAGGGGGAGGAACAGCATGGGGCTCTGTTGCTTTGCATGGTGCTAATCATTTAACTCTGGGAGCTTCTTGACATAAGAGCATGACCTTATCATTGAACCTCTGCTTATTCATTGCAAAGTCACAGGCTAGGGCAGATACTAGACTATGAGGCTGATTTACTAAAGACGTTGAGAATGTTCATACACAAAAAAAGCAACCAATCATGTGTAGAAATAAATAGACCGGAATTTGCTTTTCACAAATTGGATGAGTTAAGTGAATCTTTATTTCAATTTGTGTGAACATTCCCAACTACTTTAGTAAATCCCTCTCTTTGTGTATTGCTAAAATTCACTGTAGCCTGTAGAGGAATAAAGAGTACAGGGCCTGATTGTGCTGTCTGCCAGGGCTGGCTGTGTTACAAGACTAGATGAACAGAATACGAAATCTCTTGGCAGGTTAGACCATTTGTATATACAGTATGTGCCTTTTAGATGTATATTTACCCACTTGCCTGGAGTTCTACTTTAAGATAATTAGAAGGAGTAAGTCTAGCTGATGAATAGCACTTTCATTCTAGAATTCATGTTATGGACCTCCATAGGTAAGCACTCTGAGTTACCAGTATCCTCATTCTATTATTTACTAAATCTGAAAATGTAAAATGTGGGTTTCTGGTTCTAGCACAGCTCTTTTCGTAAAGCCCACTTTCCTTCCACAAATATGTTGAAGAGAGATATTGTTCTAAAATGCATGCTATCGATAACTGCACTAGACTCTATAAAACTCACATATAAGTTAAAGTGTTACTAAACCCACAACAGTAAAATCAGTCGGGATTTGCAGTAAAGCATGCTTCTTATACTCACTGTGGAACCTAAGAGGATAATTGTCTGCATTGTGTAAAAAGGCAGTTTGATCCTGACTTCTATGATCCTCCCCTTCTTCCAGTGTTCCCCTCTTATCTCCTGATAAGACATGTTGTGTGGAGACACACTGCACATGCTCAGTTTGGTGTGTATTGCTAGAGAGGTTTTTTTTTTTTTCTTGGGAGAGTGTATGTGATCAGCACAGGGCCAATCAGCACTGTCCAGACAGAGGTCAGAGGTTCTGCATCCTCCTAGAGCAGAAAGAAAAATCCTTCTATAAGCTTTAACCAGTGCTCTGCTGAACATTGATAGAAGTCACGAGACTGCTATATACTGCCGTTGAGAAAACTTATTTAGCAGTTTATATTTACTAAAATAATTTCACTTCCATGTTCTGTGTACTGTGTTAGAGCAGATATAGCGAGTGCAGGGTCCTGGGTTAAGTAACACTTTAAATAAAGTAGAATACACTTATTTCTGATTTTTGGAAGACTTCGGCCTAGTAGAGCAATAGGAAGTTATTAGGTAATATTTTATTATCCAGTCAAATCTTGCTATACTGTAGCTGCATTTAAAAACACATGAATTCATTTTTTAAGAAAACATAGCTGCCTTTTTATAGTTACTTGGAATTCAGCTTTAACTTTCCACATGTGTTATTGTCTTACCATATAAACAGATCTACACCCACACATTAAAATTTCTTATAAACTTTAACAATTTAGTGTAATTTCAATAGATGATTTCAATCTCTTTTGTAATATGCAGCTTTCAATAAACATACATTTTTTAATCCAGCAAAGAACATTCTTATTCAGGCCCTTCCTGTTATGCTCTGACAACTGTCTCCCAGGTTTGCTGCTGCAATATTACCCATGGTGGAGGCTACAGGCCCCCAACACACTGCACAAACATGGCCAGGGGCAGACTGACCATTGGGGAACTCGGGCACCGCCCGAGGACCCGGGGTTAGTAGGGGGCCCCATGAGATGTCCCTGGTACCTTTCATAGGCTTTTTTGGGTGTGATTTGAGTGTGGGGGAGGACACAGGGGCTCCATGATCCCCTATTGCCCAGGGGCCCCATGAGTTGTCAGTCCACCCCTGGACATGGCCTACTGTTGTCATTGTTATGAGGTAGATATGTGAACAATAGAAAAATTTGGTTATTTTCTTTTCAGATGCGTTCGTTAAGTTAATAATTTAATTTTGTCATAACTGTTTTGCTAGAATGATTTGTTTTTGGAATTCATTTTGTATATTCAGACTTGTTTCATATATTCATTATTTGCAAATCAATCTGAAATCTGAATTACAAAATTAAAATTTTAGAACATAGCTATATTGATTATATTGTTTTCTATTCTATTCTATTTTTTATTCTATTCTACTCTATTATATTCTTTTAATTTCTATTCTACTCTATTCTATTTTGTTTTCTATTCTATTATTTTCTGTTTTATTTTATTCTATTCTATTCTGTTTTATTCTAGTCTATAAAGCAGCCTAAGTAGAAATTGTCCTCTTATTTCACTTTTATACTTTATTGTATTTATTGCAATATGTTTCCATATTAAATTCAAATTCATTTTGAAATTTAAACTCATTTTAAAAATTGGATAATTCGTTTCTTTCTAATTTACTTCAGATTCCTTGAAAAACTTTACTATTGTGATTTGGAAATTTGGATACATCTGAATCTCTGAATAACAAAAACTTTGTCTGAATTTCGATTCTTAACGGAACAAATGTGTATTATGAGCCAGTGCAGAAAAATGATGTGAAGTCACGAATGAGTGCTTGTAGCCAGAAAAAGCTAAAGATGATCAGCAGTACTGACATGCAAAAAAAGGATAAAATTAATTAAAATGTTTAACAGTTTGCTTTAGCAAACTAAATGTCATCCAGTTAGGGTTTAGATCCATTTTAAATGCTTGCTATAGGCATTGTTATATATTATATTGCATGTTTCTATCATTACTAATTTAGGCAGTAGGAAACAAAGTTTGAAGTGAAGGGGTTAACAGCTTACCATTGTGCCAAACTATGACATCAGATCCCCAAGCCATTTCTTCTGGCAACTGGTAATTAGTGACAGCAGGGCAGACAGCGGATGGGTATAATTATTAAAGCTGGAGCAGATAAGGATGTGGCTGCTGGGTAGCTCATAAAGTAGCAAGGCTGTGCATAAGGTGCTGACCTTTGTGCCGAGACATAACTCTGCTGACACTGAGACAACAGCTGCCTACCTAATCTTCTTGTGCCACACCCTGCACAAGTTTAGCTTTGCTTCTACATATTAGAATTAATGGAAATATTTTTAAATACCATTTAGAATAAACTGCTATAAAAAAAAGTATTCATCACTTTATGTTTTATTCATGTTACTATTTGTTTTATTTATTTTTAAATTATGTATACTTCTTCATCTAAGACATGGAGAAATATTTAGGTGAATAATTTGTGTGCAACATAACATTTCTAAAATCGTCGAGGTTCTTTCATAACATTTGCAAAACTAGAAAATGTGGGGTTTATTTACTAAAGGTGGTTCACCCAGAATCTCATGCACCTGTGAATGGTAGCCAATCTGCTTTTAACCTCAGTTTGTTCAATTAAGTTTTAGCAATAGAACCTGGAAGCTGATTGGTTTCTCTGCAGAACAAAATTCTGAGTGGATCAGCTTTACCCCAGTTCACATCTATGCGGCCATGCGGGCCGCGTTTTGCACGGGCACGAGAGCCCATTCTTTTGAATAGACCCCCGTGCCCCTTGACATGCAGGGAAAGAAGTCCCTGCACTTCTTTGGAAAATGCAGCCCACATAGGACCTTGGTTCCCAGTACGGTTGCGTTTTCCAGTGCCAGCGGCATGCCATTAGAACTATTGGCACCTGCCCGCGGGTCCGTATTTCTCAGTGCGGGTGGTGGGGCTGCACGGATTTTCGTGCGGATCCGCAGCGGCACCACCCGCACAGATGTGAACCTAGGGTTATTAAATAAACCCATGCATGTCTAAATCTGTTGGCTTAAGAGAAAATGATCAGTGATGCACCTACAACATGGGGGAGAGGAGCTGCTCATAGACACCTCCCGTGACCCTCAAACCAGCATGAGCTGAGCTATGAGTATTCAGAGAATAAGAAGCCTCTGCATATTATTCATCTGCTTGTAGGGGCTGATTTGAGGCAGGAGCCTCAAAAAGGCTCCCAATGCATTGAAACACATGGAGGCTCTGTATGCCTTTAACCACTCGCCGCCAGAGGATTTGCCCCCCTTCCTGACCAGGCCATTTTTTGCAATATGACGCTGCATTACTTTAACTGACAACTGCACAGTCATGCAAAGCTACACCCAAATGTGATTTATGTCCTTTTTTTTTCCATAAATAGAGCTTTCTTGTGGTATTTGATCGCCTGTGCTATAAACTAAAAAAGACCGACAATTTTGAATAAAAACCTATATTTTTGACTTTTTGCTATAAAACATGTCTAGTAAACAAATTTAAAAAATCTAATTCTATCATAAATTTAGGCCAAAATGTATTCTGCTACATGTCTTTGCTAAAAAAAAATCCCAATACGTGTAAATCAATTGGTTTACGTGAAAGTTATAGCGTTTACAAATGGCGGTATATATATACTGGAATTTTTTTTGTTTTACTAGTAATGGCGGCAATCAGCAACCGGGCATTCTGACACTTGAGGGAACTGACTTGGTGTCACTGACATCCCCAGTGACACCAATACAGTGTGATCAGTGCTAATAAAAAGCACTGACACTGAACTAATGACACTGGGCAGGAAGGGGTTAACATCTGGGGTGATCAAATGGTTAACTCTGTGCTGTAAGCTGTTTTACTGTGTGCTGTGTGTGTGCTTTACACTGTAAGCACACTGCTTTGTATGGCTCTGCTCTGCAGAGCAGAACCATACAAAGCAGTGTGCAGGAGCTGACAGGGGAGAGATCTCTGTTGTATACACCCTGTCGGTGATACTCGGCGATCACCAGGGGAATCACTGGCCAGGACCCGGTGATTGACAGCCGAGGCCGTGAATGGCATGTGCACCCCCTACCTGGAACTGCAAAATCACGTATATATATATACGTGATTTTGCGCACTCGTGCTGCCTTGTAGCAGTATTTCTTCTATAGGGTGGTGCAGAAGCGGTTAAAGGAATTCTTTCCTGAGGAAAGTATGAACAATTTTATTTTTTGACTTCTTATTGTGCAAATGCTGGTTGCCTGGCCATCATGCCCTCTTGCTTCAATACTAATTAATGACTTAAATCATTAAGTCACCGACCTGGAACAAGTATGCAGCTAAGAAGCCCTGACTTTTCTCTGACTTTGCCAATCTGCATACTTGTTCCAGGTCAGTGAGTCAAAAATTAATGACTCGTGAAGGTCAACTGACATTTTCAAAAGGTGATTAGAAATATCATTTTTTTTTCCTCAGAAAGGTTTGTTTTAAATGCATAGAGAGCCTCCACAGTGCATAAGAAAGGAACTCTGGGTCAAATCAGCCACCACAAACAAATTAATAGCCCTTTACAGATAACCATGGGGAACAGTTAACATTTCAGAGAGGTATTTTGTATATAAACTAATTGGGGAGATTTTCTGTCACTTCTTGTTCTTGTGACACATGAACAGTATAGGGAGGAAGGGACATTTCCCGTTGGGATAAGAAGTTACAGACAGCAATAAAAACATTAGGGTTGATTTACTAAAGGCAAATAAGCTGTTCATTTCCAAAAGAATTTTTCTCCCGAGCTTAGAGAAGTTACACTTTGCAAAGAATACCCAATCATGTGCAAGGAAAAACAAAAACAAAACATATTTTTGCTTGCACATGATTAGATGATGGAATCAGCAGAGCTCTACCTCATTCACTAAGCTGTGGAGCAAATCCTTGCAAAGTGCAAAATCCCTTGCAATGAGAACAGACTATTTGCCTTTAGTAAATCAACCATTGTCAGAATATATAATAATTTTTTTCTTTACTGAAATATAAATTTTTCAATGCTTGTCATCTTAAAAGGAATTTGGAACTATTCTCACCAATAGGGACACAGCAATAAAAACCGAGAATGTAGCCCTTTCCTTTTTTTCCCAAAAATAAATAAAATGTGTTAGCTGGACTTGAGCTTTATGGAGCAGCACTATAGATGAAGCATGATACTTCAGTATAATTACCATGAAGAGGATTTTTGATAATCAAGAGCCGAGTATTGAAAATGCACTCTTGGAAATGGCAGGTTGGCACGTTTACAGGTTTAGTACATTTACATCCTGTTCTCATTGATCTTTTTTTTTTTTAATGATATACAGTGCTGTAAATAGTCAAATACCATTTATTTGTGGAAGTGAGATGTATTCTATATTGCATATTGCATATCCTATAGGTCAGTCCTTTATAGCATCTAGTAATCCTTGAGTCAAAATGAAGACCTTTGGGAGATGGTGATTGCAGAAGAGGGGAGGGAGTGTACAATGGGGAAGGCGTGGCACTTCAGCTAATGACTGAACAACCATTGTTAGTGACAGCCCTGCTGTGATGGAAGGTCCCTGATCCAGCCTCTCTTTGTTTTCCTAACTCAGACAAAATGTGCAATTTCAGATCTTCTTTGCCTGCAGGCTTCTGGAAATGCTGCTATAAATACACAGTATAATGAGCTGAAGAAATTTGAATCAAATTAGTAGCTTGCTTCCCCTCGCAATAATCTGTTATCAGTTCACTTCCCAGCACCAGAAGACATTGCTAGCTGGCAGCTCAAGGAAACATTTATAAATATTAACTCCTCTTAACCCGGAGGGGGTTGGCTAGGAGTGATTTGGGGGCCGCACTGGGCAAGAAATTGAAAAATGCAGTAAACTCTAATTACCCCAAAAAATGTTTAGATATTGTTTGAATATGAATTTTCATAAAGTCAAGTAACAATAAGAGAGAGGTAATGAAATGTACAATAATATAACATCTTAAGTATTACTGTGCTACAACTCATAGCAACCAGTGCGTTATTACCAATATTTTAGGCTTTATTATTATGGTCTTTTGTATGGTTAAGGCTGATTGATACCTATGGACCTTGGCAGACTGCAAACACATATATAAATAGGTCCAATAACATAGCTATTTTATTTTCTTTAATGCAGTATTAAACCCAAAAGCAAACATTTGTTATATTGCAGATTACCAATTCATAGCTGTGATGGCATCATTTGTTTTCTTTTATAGAATTTCTTCCATCTATGTTCATCTGGTGATCTGGACATTAAGTCTATAGTAGTTTTTCAAAAGAAGCTCTTTTCCGGATGGATCAGTTTACAGAGATGAGACAACCCATTTACAGTGGCAGTTACAATGATCAGCTCTTATTTATTTATGTAAAACCTTTATCTGAAAAGGAAAAAACTGTTTGTTGTAATTATTATTAATATTATTATTATACAGGATTTATATAGCGGCAACAGTTTGCGCAGCACGGTAAAAAATTAAATTAATTGATTATAAAATGTTAGCTGGAGTTTAACTTCAATATGTTAGTGTGTTTAAATCTGCTAGTACATTTAACCACCTGCCTGGAGTTTGCAAGTTCTCCCTGTGCCTGTGTGGGTTTCCTCCGGGTAATACGGTTTCCTCCCACATTCTCAAGACATGCTGGTAGGTTAATTGGATCCTGTCTAAATTGGCCCTAGTATGTGTATGCACCTTGAGGGTTAGGGACTGATGTGAATGTGCAATATATATATATATATATATATATATATATATATGTGTGTGTGCAAAGCACTGCATAAATTGACGGTGCTACATAAGTACCTGTAATAAATAATAAATAAATAACACTCCCCACACCAAGACTAACAATGCTGCTGTCCGTTGTGCCTCTGTGCTCCTTCATCCAGTGTGGGGGCACTCTAATACAGGAGGTGTTTTACTGGCCAGATCACCATGTGAAAACTTCAGAGAGATGGCCACCTGTTTACTTAGGAACATTGTTGTGAATCTTCCATCTTCATGCAGAAGTGGCATTCCACGAATAATGTCAAGGAATTTCGGACCCTCCCCATAGCCCTTTACATATAACATCTTTAGTGTGGGTCTCTGTACATCTTCTGTTTCATAAGTGCCAAACTAAGGGCAGTTTTCCTATTGTACAGTGTATATTGGAGGCATAACATTTTCTGTTTGGATTTTAGTTGTCTATGTGCTTTTATTATTGTTGTTGAATACATTTTTGATACATTTTAACCTATTGTTGTGTGACTCCTTTGTGTGCCTGTAAAGTCCAATTTTTTTTTATCAGATTTGTTTTTATTGTGTAAAAGGCAATATAGTATGTATTGTATATATATGTACTGTAGGCAATGTGATATGTAATATGTTGGAATTACTTAACCATTGAATATAAATAAATCCTAGGAATTGGCTTCTAACAGCCATTACCATACTGTTTCTGGCTGTACTTTACATTGCATCATAACAGTCCTGAATATGCATTTTTCTTTACAGTATTTAAATAATGTTTATTGTATTAATCTTTATGTAGATATCTACATTTTTACAAAAATATATGTCTAAGATAAAGCAGTAATATTCAAAACCTTATTTTCTGACCTGTTATTATTTATTTTTGATACATTTTAACCTATTGTTGTGTGACTCCTTTGTGTGCCTGTAAAGTCCATTTTTTTTTTTATCAGATTTGTTTTTATTGTGTAAAAGGCAATATAGTATGTATTGTATATATATGTACTGTAGGCAATGTGATATGTAATATGTTGGAATTACTTAACCATTGAATATAAATAAATCCTAGGAATTGGCTTCTAACAGCCATTACCATACTGTTTCTGGCTGTACTTTACATTGCATCATAACAGTCCTGAATATGCATTTTTCTTTACAGTATTTAAATAATGTTTATTGTATTAATCTTTATGTAGATATCTACATTTTTACAAATATATGTCTAAGATAAAGCAGTAATATTCAAAACCTTATTTTCTGACCTGTTATTATTTATTTTTTTTGTAGGTGACTTGCCTCCATGATTTCTTTGGGGAGGATGATGTATTTATTGCATGTGGCCCAGAGAAATTTCGATATGCTCAAGATGACTTTTCTCTGGATGAGAATGGTGAGTCATGCAAATGATATGCTTTCATCTTTAATATACACTCACCGGCCTCTTTATTAGGTACACCTGTTCAATTGCTTGGTAACACAAATTGCTAATCAGCTAATCACATGGCAGCAACTCAATGCATTTAGGCATCTAGACGTGGTAAAGACAACTTGCTGAAATTCAAACCGAGTATCAGAATGGGGAAGAAAGGGGATTTAAGTGACTTTGAACGTGGCATGGTTGTTGGTGCCAGACGGGCTGGTCTGAATATTTCAAAAACTGCTGATCTACTGGGATTTTCATGCATAACCATCTCTAGGGTTTACAGAGAATGGTCCGAAAAAGAGAAAATATCCACTAAGCGACAGTTGTGTGGACAAAAGTGCTTTGTTGATGTCAGAGGTCAGAGGAGAATGAGCAGACTAGTTGCTGCAATATTCAGATGGTAGGGTCAGAATTTAGCATAAAAAACATGTAAACATGGATCCATCCTGCCTTGTATCAACAGTTCAGGCTGGTGGTCTAATGATGTGGAGAATATTTTCTTGGCACTAGCAAGTTCAACCTAATAAAGTGGCCGGTGAGTGTCTATTCTACTGAATCAATAACATGTGATCTGTGAATTGTATTTATCAGTTTCTAAGGTCCAGTTTAAATTTTGGTGCTGTTAAATGCATGTGAATATTCACTCAAAAAACACAATGGGATATGTGCTTTTACAGTCAATGCCACTGTACACAAATGTACATTTTTGTAAAGTGTGCTTTTTAAGGCCCATTTAGGTTTATGTGTTATGCTAATGCATTGTAAAACCCCCTTCCCCATGTTTGTTACAA